TGAAAAGTAGGAGAAAGAGTAACATTCAAATTGGCAGGAGAACAGATTGAAATTCATGAAATTTTAAGGTATCAAGTGAGTGCTGCAGAAATGCAATCATGTCAGATTTCTGCACTATATTCAACATGCTTTCGAGTTCACAGCAAGCTGAAATAAGGCAACATTTTAGAGATGATTGTCAAGGAGATGCCGATGAGGGAGCCAAAAAACCTGAAAAAAGAAAACCAAATTTCATTCGATTTGGTAGAACTGGTATATCTAATTTATTTCAAGCCACGTCATACCTTATGAAACAATGAAATTCCAGAGAATATTGGTTTTTAAGTAGTGTAGGACTGTTTGACTCAGTGTAAGTTCTTGAAATATGCCTACTTCGACAACAACAGCCAGTAACCAACAGCCTCTTATCACCCGATATTCAACATCAGGATGGGATTTCTTGATGTTCACTTTTGCAATTTTTGTTCCATGTTCTATGAATTAGATTCAAAGTCATTATCTAAGACAAGAATCAAAATGAGAGAGGAGTTCAATAGCTAAGTGCTCTAAAACTTATTTCTCAACATCATTGTTTTTTATTTACTACAACCATTTTCAGCATCAATAATGTATGGAAAAAAAGACGCTGATCCGAATTTTTTACAATTTGAACGTTTATCAAGCGCATTCGGCGGACAAAATTTTTTTCGATTTGAAAGAGCAGCTGAACCAAATTTTCTTCGTTTTGGTAAAACAATATTGTCATACTTTTGTAATAATTTCCGGCAACACTTCCCACTTTTAACAATTATGTGACATTCAAAACAGTTTCATTAATTTGAGAAATTATTGGTAATTGATTTCATAATACTCTTTTCATCAATGTACAACTAGCAATCCTGTCACCTGTTCACCCCATTCTGGAATGTCACGATTCTGGGTGAAGTATCTAGTCCGATAACCAATATTGAATTACGTGGTTTTATAAACCGAATACGAACACTTAACGACTATACAGTGAAAGAGATAATATCTAGCAAGATAACATTTTGGTTCGACATGCAACCACAAATAAAAACATGCCACAGTCTAACTGATCCATACTTGATCAGTTGGACTAAAAATCAGTTATTTAATCAACGAAAAATAGATCCACCGGTAAATTCGGTTTGAGTTGTAGCAGTGGTACACAAGGTGAAGTCTGCAAGATGTAAATAGTACCAGGATTGTATTAAAAACTGCACTAGTATAAGATTCTCCTATGTTTTTGACATCCCATATTAAATTTATTTTGCAAAATATAAATATTCGAAAATCTTCAGAAGTAAACAAAAATCACTCTTCCAGGTCGCGTGACAGATCCAAATTTCTTAAGATTTGGCAAATCTACTGAACCAAATTTCCTTCGATTTGGGAAACGTTTTGAAATGAGAGACCCAAACTTTTTGCGATTCGGAAGAAATAATTCCTTGCAACCCAGTCAAGAACATAAGGAAAGATTCAACCGCGAAGATCGAAAGCCTAATTTTCTACGCTTTGGTAAATAATGGAAACATAATCCATATCCTGTGTTATCCCTTACATCATGTTTGGTGCAGCAGCTGAGGAGGAATAAATATTGCCACCATAATGTTAACATAATATCAAATAACAATTACTTAGACTTAATTCGGCACTACTTATCATCTAACGCTAACCTGAGACATCGAATTTTGAAAAGGATGAATTAATAGTGCTTTATTTTATTTTTGCGAAATACATATTTGCTTAACATTTTGGGGACTGATGAATGATAAGTGGTGACAAAGTTTCAGCGTCCAATTTTTGCCTAAGCCAAGGTAATTACAATAATGTTATCGTCCATAAATTGCTCATTGCGACATTGACTACCTTCGACTACTCTATCTTACTACTCTGCAACGAATCATGTAGAAATAAAAAGGCAGCTAAATGCTCTAGCACTGGGAAAAAATAACATTATTACTAGTTAACTTCATCTCTTAACTACAGTTTAAAATCAGCCTTCAATTTGTCGTTCCCAAATAGAGATGTGTCAATAGATAGAATGCATATACTTATCCTTGTCCTGGAGTCTGGAACAACCACTTCCAGTATGCACACCCGCCAATATTATTTAATTATGCTCATGCACCAGAAAAGACAGTTTAAAATGTGACTGGAAGAGTAAATAAATAAATAAATGGATAATAAAAGCACAAACAAACCCCGCTTCGCTATCATCCTCGGACACCTTATCAATCCATTGCAATATCGGTCGCATCAAACAGAGAGATTATGCGATGCTTGAAACATAGAAAGCTGCTTATTGTTTCCATAGCAACCCACAGGAACCTTTTGAAAATTTCAATGATGAAATTCTGGTATAAGCTTTCAGTGCTGATAAAATTAACCTTCATCAGTACCTTTTAGAATATTAAAAATTTAAGCTGATTTACATCAAAAACTTTGCAGCTTGAGCAAAAATTTCAAAATGTGTCACATTTATCAGTATTTTATATTCAATTCTTGACATTAGGGATACTCGAATTAAGTATTCGAAATCTGCTCTATTTCACCTTTTTTTCGCCACAATCAGGACACAGAGAAGATGGTCACAAATTTGCGAGCGGAAATAAACCGAGAAAATCACTCCTCATCGAGCCTGATATTCGCATCCTCAAAATAATCAAATCAGAAACGTAATTAAGCAATGGTTTGCAACAATTTTTCTGCCTGAAAAATTAATTTTCACATCGTCCATGCAATTCAAATTGGCATTTAAAATTCGTTGTTTGAGGATAACATTCAGTGGCTTTAAATAGGTGACGTGAGTGAGATGTTTTGAAATGGATGTGGTTGGAGTATCATCCAGCAGTGATGTGTACGTATACTTGTTGCCATTTACTGTTCGAAAGCAGTTAGCTGCCATTTTGGATATTGATAACGCATGGGAATTGCTAGGTTTGATCATTAATATTTATATTTTTATATCCAAAAGAAAAAAATTCAAAAATCCGCATAGCTGTAAAATACAAAAAATCATGTCAATTAAAAAATTGTTCACTTTTTTATCTAGCCATCATATACTTTCAGCGTTTGTAATGCCAGATATCGGGAATGCAGATATACGGGCTTGTCGAAATGCAGGATCTTTCGAAAGTCCGACAGAGAATCTTCTGGCAATATGGGGCTCAAAAGGAAACAACGTAACTCAGCTTTACAATTGTCTTGGTCGAGCAAAACTTGTTCGTGCGATGAAAGCAATGCGTCATTTAGGTGTGTTTTTCCTTGCAGTTTCGTTTCCTGTTAAGACCTGCAAAGTTTGACAATTTGAGATTTTTATGGTTTTCATTTCTGCACTTATAATATATA